TAAATGTTGTTCTTAATTTTTAGTAGATCTCTCATTTAATATTTTTAAGTAGATCTCTCATTTAATAATTTACTAATTTATTGTATTTTTCTATTTTGCTTGTAGCTTGTATATGGTAGAGGATATGGTAGAGGATATGGTATACTCAATGCTATGTTTTCTAGCTTAGGTGTTGATAACAATGTTCTTGAAATGAGTGAGTCTTATAATTTGATTTAATTTTTTAGGGGTACTATGCTTTTAAAGGATTTGGGTTTTAAGGGTTAGGATGGTGTTATGGGCTGTAGCATGAGGCACAGAGTAGGTTTCTAGCTATTTTGTGTCAGTTTTGACTATTGTAAGTACATAGTGCTTACCTTGGGTTGGAGGTAGTGTGATGTAGTTAATTTGTTAGGCTTCTTTATTCTTATATTTGGACTATCGCTTACTAACTATAGGGGTTTTAACTGCTTGGCTTGCTTGATCACAGCACATGTCTTATAGTCATGGATAATTTGAGAAATATTGTTTATGGTTAAATCTATTTTTCGGTCTCATGCTTATTTGTAACTGGCATTTCTACCTTGATGACTTGAGGCATCATGGACTTATTGAGCTAGGAATAACTTTTTTTGTGTTGCTAATCTATGCTCATTTTTGACACTTCTATTTTTGTAGTTTACTTGTTTATTGTTTTGGTGGTTTTTATTAGGTTTTTTCCTGGGCACATAGGTATTTATATGGTGGATTTTTATAGGTAGCTTTTCTACTCTGGTAGTGATGTTTTTTACTCTTTAGCAGCCTAAACTGGTTTTTTAAATGCTGTTAATTAGCTTTTTGAATTTTTTTTAGCTATCTCTATAGAGCATTTGTTACTATCTACAAATTAGTGTAGAGATAGAGCTTTGGCTACTCTTCTTTTTTTAGAAATGTTTAGGGCTAATTGAACAGTTGTGAGTTTAGCAAGTTGGTTTGATTTTTTAAGTAGCTTTTGCAGCTTGTTGTGTTGGGTTTTATATGGCTGTTTTCTACTTTTGTTTTATTTCTACAATGCAACAAGAACTGCCAGTGAAAAGAGCGAAATGTGGTTTTTTTGCTGATGGTTGTATGGTGGAGCTTCTTTAGTACATGCTACTTCTTGGGGTTTTTTTGGCAGTGAGACTAAAGTTTTTACTTTCAGGCTAATTGTTAATTATTTCTAAAATCTTAGGGTGATTAGTTTTTTAATATGGGTGAGTTGTGTGATGAGAGCAATCTACTTGCTCTATGTGGGATGGGTGGTATGGTGGGTAGAGGGAATTTTTGTTCTGAATATGTACTTTAGTATTGGAGTTGGGGTATTAGGAGGAGTTGTGTTTAAGTGCTTATTATTTTTGAGGAGGTTTGGATTTTTTTATAAGCTGCTACAATTTTATTTTGTTGGAGTGTAGTTGGCTTTTGGTTTTTTAAAATTTTGATTCTAAAATCTTAACGGTTGGTTTTGAATTTTATTAGGTATTTTTTGTTAAAGGCTTTAAGACAGATTACGGTTTTTGGTTGTAGAGTATGGTTTTTATATTTGATCTTGTCTTGACTGGGTTAAGGGTTATGGTATGAGTGATTTCTAGTTTAATTTGGGCAAAGTTTGTTGTTATTTAGGGCTCTCTTGTAAAGAGGTTTTTTGTGGGTAACTAGGTAGAGAGGGCTTACAGTTTGGTTGTATTTAGGAATATGTATTCTCTAAAAGCTTATGGTACTTAAGAAGCTTATGGGGTTTTTGTTTTTGTTGATGGAGATAATGTGATTTTGTTGATGATATTGGTGGGAATTTAATGTTGTTTATTTTGTTATTTTATTCTTAGGAATTGGATTTTTTTCAGTAGGGTTTTTGACTTTTTTTTGATGGCGAAATTGACTTTTAGGAGAATTTGGATTATTTAAAAAAAAATCCTTCTGTTGTGTTTTTTACACAATCATTGATGCATTGCAGATGTTTTGGAGCTTTACTTTTTTTTAGTGTAGTTTAGATTAGTTTATGGTAGATGGTGGGCTAGTGTTGTTATTTTTGGGGTAGTTGGTTTTAGGTGTATTGCACTGTTTTTCACAAGAAGGCAAATTGAGTCTTGTCTTTCATTGTTAAAGGAATGGAGAAAAATGTATTGGTAATGTTAATAGTGGTGAACTACTTTGTTGTCTTGGATTTTAGTTTTTATTGGAGTTTTAATATGTTTAGTACAGTAGTACTTAATAGTGGAGTTACTTCATTTAAGGTATGGTAGTCTACAGTTAATTTGTTTTTTATATTTGTGCATAGGCTAAACCGGATTGTTGAAGGGTTTTGTTGATTACTTTTTGGGTTTTTAGTTGATGGATTATTTTATGGATGAGCATTATAGTATTTTGAGCTGTTTTGTATTGGTGTGGTATTGTTGAAGTGATAATTGCTATTTGTTGTTTTTTTATTTTTAGGAGTTTTATTGTAGATGGGTTTTTTGATAGTTTAGGTAAGGTGTTTAATTGTTTGATATTTTCAGGTTTTATAGCTAGTATTTTAAATGCTTACTTGAGGTTTTTTGGGTTTTTGAAATATTTGCTTTGGAGGAAGTTTATGCTTAAAATGTATGGGACTTTTGGGCTAGTTACAATAGGGTGTTTCTTCTACTTATTTTTAGTCAGGTTTACATTACCTTTTACTAAAGTAAAATCTTGTAATCTTCTTGTCGTGCTAGCAATTGAAATAGATTTTGTCTTTACATCTTGATGGGATTAATGCGTACTGCACACCAATGTTGACTAAGGCTTCATATTTCTGTGGTTCTGATGTGCTAGGCTAATGAACTCACACAGTCTAAAAACCACGGTTTTCTCTAGCCTCTACTTGGCTGGAGGCAGGGCCCCTCTAAGCTTGGTTTTGGGGTTTTTTGGGCATATGTTTGAAGAGTTTCTTAAGGGGATTGGACATATCGTCATCATCGTTATATTTGGCAGTTTGGATATGGACTATTGAAGCAACTTTTTTTTGGTGGAACTTTTTTCCTTGCTGTTTTTCAATTCAAGCACATGTTGTGCTAGAGCAGTAGTAGATTTTCTATCTCATCTCTTCATGTTTTATGTACAATCATGCAGGAAGAACTACAGCTCAGCTTGTGGGGTGTACTTTTTATCTTTATTTGGGGGACATTTGTGTTTGGTACTAGAACTTCTGATCTGTATTGATGAGTTTTGGAGAATGTCTTTTTTAATCTCTTTGTTATGAATGATGTTCTATATGTCTAATAAACAACAAAATTAAATTTAGCAGCAATTTTAATTGAACAGAAATTGTATATAAATGAATAAAATCAAGTATAATAAATATTATCAAGCATATACAAAATTTTTGGCAGTGAACAATTAAGTATGATTAAGGATCATATAAAGCATAAGTAAAACCGGCCAGGGTAAGGGGAGAACTGCTCACCCTGCCTCATGTAAGAAACAAGGTAATCCAAACTAAACTTATGTACTGTATGCTAACACATATTCATCAATATTTTTCTGTAAACTCCTCCTATTTTTGATTCTTAAAATCCACATCACTATACTGCATAGTGCATGCTCCGCTTGGTGTTAGGGGGGTCTCCTGGCTTTTTGGTGGTCTTTTCAGAGGAAGGCTCGCTGTCTTCCTCACTGTCCTCTCAACAATCTTACAGGTTGTGCATGTGCACTGAGCTTTGTGTTATGTAAGTAAGCATTGTGTTCCAAAAATAAGCTTTATTATTTCATAGATAAAACCACAACTTAGATTCCATACCTGGAATCGTCCCAACTTTGTTCATTCCAAGGCCGATTCTGTTTTGGGATCGAGCTTATCTCCATACTAAATCCTGTATCCTTTTTTTCACATGTAACATCTGCAAAGGGGTGCATCTGCTTTGTAACACTAATCACAGATACTTTTCCTTTATTACTTTATAACAATTATTTTCTAAAATATTTATATGGTTACAATTTAATTAGCACGAATCATATCCATTTACACAATTTCCCCCATTTATCTTTTTGATCATATTGATTTGTGCTTTTTATTAAAAAACTGAATCTTGGTATCTTCTATATTCCCAATAATCCAGGTTTTCACATTTCCTCATTTCAGCTTCTAATTTTTCTAACATCTTCCATGCTGCGTCAAGATTTTGGCACTCTTTCTCAAATTTGGTTAACATTTCTTGTGCTAGTCTATTCTCTTTGCATTTGGTCAACCTATTTTTAGTTCCTTTCCCTTGAGTGTGAGTAGATCTTGCTTTTAATATCATCAAAGAATTTAGTTTATTTTTTCCTGCCAATTCTGGATCAATGGGCATTGCTGTAATTTGCATTCCTTGAATTACTGAGTGCATTAGTCTAATAATGCATGGAATCATACAAGGTAAAAACAATCCTAAACCAGAACATAATAGCCTAAATCCCAACTCCTTCCACTAGCACCTCCGAAGAGGTTATCCCACCAATCAGCTTTCAGAATAGAATTCCACTTTTGAACTGGTACGTATGCCACTCTTCTAATTTCTTCAGCAAGTTTTGTGATGGCTTCTCCATGATCATCTATCTCCACACAGCACTCACATTCGTTAAATCTTCCACATACTCCCCCTTCTTCTAATAACATATAGTCTACAGCAATTCTGTTTTGATACACAAATGCTCACATTTATGAATGCTGCTTGGCCAGCAGTTTTAGGGCATCAGAAGTATGATTTGAAACAACCTCAACTAACTGCCTGAAGCCTTATCAACCGATTCAATAGATAAATTTGGGTTCTATATGTCCAAGATCCATCCTCAGCCCAAGTAGCTGGGACATAATAGGCTATAATTCTTTCTCAGGCCATTCATCTCCCTGCCATTTCTGGTTTCCTCCTACTTTTGGAAAGTTGAGGTTTAAGGTTGAGTGAGGGGAGAGACAGCCAGTGCAGAAGCATTACAAATATAGGGGTACATTGGACGAACCAATATACATACAGAACACAATACAACATCAAGTGTCTTTTATTCCTTTCTAGGGTTTCATCAAGTGGTGTTCCTAGTATATTGCTCCTGGACCTTGGTACGATGAAGGAGAGTTGTATCACTCCTAAGATACAGGTTCCTTCCCACTTTCAAGGTAATTCACTGTATGCTCGTTGCCCACAAATCAAATATATTCCATCAGGGGTTTCCATTTGTTATCTGTTTTATCTGGTTGTTCCCAATATGATTTTAGGTTGTTTATGGATTGGTAGGGGTTAGCTCCAGGACTTCTATGCCAGCACAAATCAGTTTGATTATGCTGGCAATCAATTTCTTTTGTTATTCCCCAATATCCAGTAGGAATTCTGGGTCTCCAGGTCTTGGTATTATTATCTGAATTTACTACTAAAGTAGATATAAAAGGAGTATATCCTACCATTTCATTGTATTTCCTTTCTTCTTGAGTTATACAAACTGTTCCAATTAATTGATGACTCAAAATCCATCCCTCAGGTCATTTTAATGTCTTGGAAATTTGAGTATGATTCCATTTCCAAAATTGTTCTGGAGGTAGACTCTCACCTCTCCACGGCCATCTTTCAGCCATTCTAAGTCCCCCACAAATCCAGCATTTAGTTGAGGTTGGCAAATCCCAGTCACTATACTGCTGTTTTAACTGTTTATACAATTCATTCAGTTCCTCTAATTCTTTTCTTTTGATTCTTTTCATATCCCATTTTGTTTCCTTTTGGTTTTCTTCTATTTTCTCCTTTAATGCTATACCTCTTACATTTGTACTTAGGTTGTTTCCATTCTCATCTTTCTCAAAACACAAAAAATGTTTCATATCGAGGACAAATTTGATCACTGTAAGGATAAGGAGCTTGTCCATTGAATCCGAAGTTTTTCCCTACCCAATACATTTTTCTATTTTTAACGTAAACATCCATAAAACTGCTGCAGTTGTAACAGGCAGCACTAACATATGGATATGCCACAAACACAGGTTCCATCTTGTCCCTGACCCACATAGAGTGATTGCATTTGCCACAGGTATGGGAAGTATTGGGACTTTGTTTTTGCATTGTTTGTTTTCTCATTGCTTGCTTTTGCGCTGCTTGTTTTATCATCGATTGTTCCTACATTGTTTGTTCCCTTCTTATTTATTGGACTCGGTCCCATGCAGCTTTATGGTTTTGGCCAGTTGCCAAGGGTATCATAATAAGCACAGTGAAAACAATCCTCAGGAGTTCTGACTTTCTGCCTTCCTCAAGGCCCCTTGGGGTTGCAGCCAAGGGCTGAGATGCCAATCTTCTTGGCAGCAAAGTTTATCTCCTGGGATCTAGTCACTGGTACATTTGATCTCCCTGGTACCTTTAGCCTCATAAAGTTTGTATGAGCCATTTTAATTCTTTTTGTTTCAAAAATGGCACAAATTACTTACAGTTTCGTGGCACTGCCCTATCTCCCTATCTCTCTCCCTGGGTTAGTCAGCTACTTCCTTTTTTTCATTTTTCTTTTTTTTTTTTTTTTTTTTTAATTTTTTTTAATCGAAATCACCAAAGCTCCAGAGATGTGCCAACCACAATATGATTTGCTTTCACACTACTTCAGCTAAAAATCCACCTTGTTTGGCGTTTTTTGCTCTGAAGTTGGGATTGGTTATTAAGTGTCTTCGTCACCACCAATAGAAATGCTCACGATGCCAGTCTGCATCAGGAATGTGTCTATAGTGTGGCACACAGATTCCTTCTCCACAGCAACTGTTAATTATGATACACTGGTCTATAATATTATGGATCATTTGGCCACTTACCCCACTTACTAATACAGCAAGGATTCGTTGGTCTAAATTCTCTATTAGTCAAACTGCTGCATAAAAGGTTCCATCTTTCCATCTCAAAGGTGTTCCAATAAAATCACTAAAAAGGCTTTCTAAGGTTAGCTGTTCATGCACGCGATCCAAGCAAGCTAAACAAATCAATTGCCTCTCTTTTTTTCTGCTCTGGTCACTCTCCACCACAAATTAAAGCAAAGCATACAAATAACACAAATCCATGGGTGACACTCTAAGCCATGCTTAATACACTCCCAGTGTGTTAATTGGTTTTGGACCCTCTTAATAACAGTCTCTTTTTCTGGAATTGCAGCTCCTCAATAAAATCTGTTAGTGTTAATTGCTGGAGGCCTCTGAGAAAATTTTCAGTCCATCTGGGCAGTTCCCACTGATCAAGGAAGTGCTGAATTCTCTCTCATCAGCATCTGCCTCCGGACTCAACAGAGTTGCGCTCGGCAGCTGCAATTAGGCAATCCAGAATGCCTAATTTTTCTAATGTATTAAAGTTAGTTGTGATTACAAAACACAAATCTTTAATGGTTAATTATCAAAGGAGTTATATGGTCTGTAATTTAAACAGATTAAGCGAGACAATTGTCTTTTTCTGTTGTTTCTAGGTATCCTACTGTGTCCACATCTCACTTCTATTACTCTTTGTTGTTCTTGCAGTGTTCTCAAAGCCACTAATCATTCCGTGTGATATGGTAAGTAAATAAATGCTCTTTGTGCTTTATCTTCTCTTAGAAATTGTTGCATGTAAGTATCAATGCTGGTGCTAAAACCCAATTGTGCATTCTAAAGTCTTGCTCTACTATACTAAAACATTGCATACAATTAATAATGAAAACTACATCTATTTGGTCCCAAGGTACAGCTGTTCTGTGCCAATATTGTTGTCTTAATCCCTTCATTTTCACTACTTTACACCATTCACATTTTACTGTACAATAAGAGGCACACCGATGACCATGTTTTCAACCCTGTTGAAACAAGGACACCACTCTCTGCAGGATGACAGTCTTTGACCTTTCTGTTCTAACGATATCTTGGATATCCTGGGGTTGTGTTATTCTTTTGACATGTGGGTGGCAAACTTATTGCAGGATTATGTGAAATCCACAGCTGAAAACGATTTTCCATATGAGCTGTAGCCTCTGGGCGCCAAGTATTCTCTTCAGTCATGTCGTGGATTAATTACAATTTCACTTTATACTGTGCTTTTGGACCTTAGTGAAAAAGGTTTAATCAATTTAAAGTCCTTTTAAATTTTACTTTCAGGTGTCCTGGTGTTGGAATCATTTTCCAGTCTTTATTGGGTATCGGTCCTTTTACCCGTGAACCATGAGTCCAACCTCTTTCTGCCATTTGAACTGTGGTTTCTGTGGTTAAAAGAACAAGAAATGGTCCTTCCCACCAAGGTTCTAAACCTTCTCCAATCCAGCATTTTATCAACATGTACTGTCCTGGTCAAACAGAATGTATCGAAAAATCAATGGGAGTTGTCTGAGCTAAAATGCCTCTCTCTTAGCTCCCTCAAATTTTTTGCGATAGTTGTAATATACCCCTGGGTGGTTTTGTCCCCGATTAGTGAGGGATCCATTATCATCCCTTGAGGGTAAGGCAGTCTATATAACATCTCATATGGTGAGATCCTAGTTTCAGAGTGGGGCTTGGTTCTAATATCTAACAGGGCTAAGGGAAGGCATCTGGTCCAAGGCAATTTGGTTTCTATCATTAACTTAGTTGCTGTTTAATAGTTTGATTCATCCTTTCAGCTCGTCCTGAGCTTTCAGGATGCCATGAGCTATGATATCCCAAGAAATTCCTAATGTTTGACTTAAATTTTTAATTATTCCTGAGGTAAAATTAGTACCCTGATCCGAATCAATAGCCTGCACTAATCTGAATCTTGGAATAATAAGCTCCAACAAAATCTTGGCTACTGTTTGAGCTGTAGCCTGAGCAGCAGGGTATGCTACTACTCACTGAGTCATTTGATCTACTATAACTAATAGATATTTCCACTGGCCCACTCTCGGTAATTTGGTAAAATCAACTTGGATCTTTTCAAACAGCCTGTAGACTGTCCAGTGGCTTCCAGAGGGAGGACTACTCAACACCTTTTTGTTCACTTTTTGAGAAGTGAGACATCCCTCATCATGGAGGCCCTGGCATTGTGCTAGGGTCAAACCATGACACTGAGTAATTAGCTTCCCTGAGTAATTTCAAATATTCCTATACACCCATAAAATTTTAGAAAGTGATCACAAAGTGCCCTTGTTCTCCAGTGAGTCTGTCAATGTAAGTTGTCTAGATCTGTCAGGCTAAGGGTTTTGGTACTATATTCCTACCATCAGGGAGAATCCATTACCCCCTTTTAGAGTTGCCCCTAGCTTCTTTATGGCTTCTACATCTGCTAAGGAAAAGTATGGTGTTTCATTCTGTGTTTCTTCTTCCTGAAAAGTCATAATTACACTGTTATTTTCCCTCAGGGCAGCTTTTTTAGCTTCATCATCAGCCAAATTGTTTCCTCTTGTTTTAATATCTCTCCCTCTCTGATGCCCGAACTACTGCTATCTTTTTTGGACCTTTCAAAGCTTTGAGTATTTGAATTACCAATTCCTGATGTATCAATCCTTTTCCTTGAGTGCTTATGAGTCCCCTTTCTCTGCAATTTTTTCCAAAAGTGTGCACTACTCCAAAAGTGTATTTCAAGTCTGTGTAAATGGTTCCTTCCTGATCCTTTAATAATAATAATGAACAGAATAATGCATAAAGTTCACAGGCTTGTGCTGACCAGGACAGACTAAGGGGACCAGATTCTTTTACTTCTAGTTTTTCTCCACTAATTATGGCATACCCAGATTTTCTTTTCCCATCTATCAATCGAGATGATCTGTCTATTGTTATGAATAGAAAGTTGTATTTTTTTTTGAGTTTCAGAGTTAAAAAAACCAAGTCAGACCGGGTCAGACTCCTTTGGTTTAGCTGCCAAAGAAAAAGGCTGATTCTTCTTAATAAAGGCATTAAAAAGGAGAAAGATCTCCTGCCCATTTATTTCATCTATAAATAAATTTTCTCCTGTTTGTAGTTCCTGTTCTCCTAGGTATGGGCGTGTTTTTGTTTGTAGCTATATGACCTCTGTGCAGTCATGTATTAATTCTTCCTCTGGGACCCTGTAGAGAAACTGGGCAGGGCTTTGTACATTTGTCACTCTCAGCTCTAATTCAAGGGAGGTTATCAAGACAGCCTCATATTTTAATATTCAGCTATCAGTTAACCATTTTTCAGCCTTTTGAGTGAGAATTCCTCTAATATTGTGGGGGGTGTGTACTTCCAGTTGTGCCCCAAAGGTTACTTTTCAAGCCTCTTCTACTAACAAAGCAGTTTCTACTAGAGCTTGTAAACATGTAGGCCAACCCTTACTAACTGGATCTAGTAATTTGGAATAATATCCTACTGCCTTTTGGCTTCCCACCCAGTCCCTAAGCTGTTTGACCAGTTGTATTAACACATAATTGAAAAAGCTTGTCTAAATCAGGAAGACTTAGTACAGGATCTTGCAGTACGACTTCTTTAACGTGCTCAAAATTTTCCTGATCCTTTTTGGTTAATTGTAAGTGATTTGTAGTCAATTTCTCATATAAGAGTTTTACTTTTCCACTGAATCCTTTTATCCACTGCCTGCAATACCCTAAAAGACTCAAAAACTGCCTTATTTCTCTTTTTGACTTCGGGGCTCCCATGTTTAATATTCCTGAGACCCTTCTGCCTCCACAAATTGTAATTTTGACCTAGATATCTTCAGCCCATTTTCTCCCAAAAAACTTAAAAGCTTAATAGTACCCTTTCTAGTTTCCTCTTCATTTTCTCCTGCTACTAGCAAGTCATCTACATATTATAGCAACTTAATTCCTTTGGGCAACTCAAAGGACTTCAAAAGCTTTTCTAATGCTCTCACAAAAAGATTCATTAAATCTTGGGATTGTATTTTCCACCTAAGCTGTTCTCTTCTGCCTGTGTGTAGTTCTTCCCACTCAAAAGTGAAATAATCCCTGCTGCCCTCATCCAGAGGGCAAGTCCAAAAAGCATCGTTTAAATCGACTACACTGCACCAAGTGTAATTAGGGGATAATTGGCTTAGTAATGTGTATGGATTAGCTACTACCGGAAAGTGGGTAATGGTTCTTTGATTCACCACTCTGAGATCCTGAACTCGTTGGTAACTACCATCGGGCTTCTTTACCGGAAGAATGGGGATATTATGTGGAGACATACAGGGATCTAATACTCCCTGATGTATTAAATTCTCAATTATAAGTTTCAAACCTTTCCAACCCTCTAATGATATTGGATATTGTTTTATTCAAATGGGGATTTTTGGGATTTGTATTTCAACGCTAATAGATTGAATGTTTAACTTTCCTGCTTCACCGGAATACCACACAGTGCCACTAATCTCCAGATTATCCTCTTCAGTTAAAGAACAGATTTTAAGTTTTCCTTTGCAAGATGTTATTTTAATACCCAAGGCTATTATTAAAACCCTTCCTAATAAATTATTATCAGCCTCAGGTATTAGTAACAAATCATTCAATCCAAATTTTTTTGTCTGTTTCAATTTGCACAATTTTAATCACAATGACCTGAAAAGCTTCTCTCTTAACCCTAATTACTGGGACATGTTCACTGCTTACTTCACATCCCTATGGTAATTTTCTAACTGTGTTTATGGGGAAGGCCCCTGTGTCCACTAAAAATGTGATTTCTTCATTGTGAGGACCTATCTTTAGTTTTATCAAGGGCTTTTCTGGTGTTTTGGTCCTCATTAAATAGAGCCCCTGACCTCCCTAATCTTCTTGAAATATTTTTTTGTCCTGTTGCCTTTTTCTACAGATTTTTGCAGATATCCTTTTTTGTGGTGTCATGGGTTGACCCTGACACAATGCCAGGGCCCCCATGAGAGGTGTATTTCCAAAATGGTTACTGTGAGATGTGACCTGGAAACACAACAAAGCAGGCTCCCACTTGGGGATGGAGGGAAAAACAACACTTTAATAATCTACAACACAGAAACATAAGGGGAGAAAAAAGGAAAAAAACCACACACAACAATCCACAATGGAACACTCCCAAAACCACTCCTCCCCCCCCCCCCCAGTCCTCTAACATTCAAATCCCCTCTAACACATCAAATCTCAGTCCAATACCCTCCTTCACACAAGCTCCCCCCAGTTCATCAGGAGAGAGGAGTCTCCCTCTTGCACCATGGGCCTCCCCAGGAAACACAGTGGAACCTCCTGGGCTTCTGTGTCACACACGGCAGCCGCCCCAAGAGAATCTGCTGTGGTGACCATCTTCCTTCCATGTCCAGCGCTCTCACCACCATCCATGGATCCAAACTGCTCCTTGGGTCCTTTTAAGAATGCCTCACCCAGTTCCAAGAAGTGGCCACCTCTCACCATTTGGGACACCTGTCCCCCCCATATTTTTACTCTCCTGGGGCCTGGGTCTCAGGAACAGAGCTCTTTCGCTGAAGGCAGAGGGCTCCACCACCCCCTCCCCCTCAGTCTCTGTTCTCTCTACTCTGCTTCTCCGCGCGGCCTTATCATTCTTGGCTTACGGCCAACCGCCCTCCCCAAGGTGCAGTCTCTGCATTATTGGAAGAAATTGGTTTCGCCCGTGGCTATGTAAGAGAACAGTCCAGCCAAAGCCACTCCAATCATCTCCTCCATCTGGGGCACTCTCATCTGCTGGCATTTCTTCGCTCACTCAACCCTTTTCTTCTTTCCCATCCTCCATCCCCTCTCAATCCTCAGCTGGGGAGGATCAGTGTTTTTTCGGCTTCCATTGTTTCAGTACCAAAAGAGTTAAAAGCTAAGCCCACTCTGCCTGTGGCTGGGAACCTTGCCCCCCACCCCCTTCTCCTCCTGGCCGTGGTGCCAGCATGAGATATCAAATTCCAAGCCAGCACAGTCTCTATCACTCTTTCCCGGAGGGGGGGCTGCCCAAACATCCCAGGTCTCCTCCACCCCTTCACCTTGCAGGGCTCCGGCCTCCCTCCCCACAGGCCGCATGGCCTCCCCTGCCCCACCCAGACACAGCTGGGCAGGGGAGGAGGTCAGACTCACTCACCGGCTGGACTCCAAAGAGGGAATTCTCTGGGAATGCTCTGCTTTTAACCCCTGTGTGTTCTCAGAGGCGTATCCAAATACCCAGTGGCCACACCAGGTGCCAATTTCAAATCTGGCCACTGATTGGTTTGATCTCAACTTTTTCCAGAAACTCACTTCCGGACCAAACCACGACGTGTGGCAATAAAAACAGGTGGGTCCTGTACCCCTGGAGGTATGACAAGAATTTTGTTAAGTGTCCCTTCTTGTGGTAGGAAAAACACGTGGGTTGTGTCCCCAGAGGTGGGGCCTGACTTCTGCTGTTTATACTTTCCTGAAGACTTCCCTGTGTTCATGGCTGCCTGTGTTTCTTTTACTGCTGTTATCAAAATCTTTGCTTTTATCTTTTGCTTTTCCTCATCCCTCCTTACATGCACTTTCTGCACTTCCCTCAACAATTCCTGTAGCCTCCTATCCTGCCAATCTTCTAATTTTTTCCAGTTTCTTCCTGATGTCCCCCCAGGACTTAGCTACAAATTGTGCTTTCAAAAGGACCTGCCCTGCTGCAGTATGGGTGTCGCATGTCTCGGTTAGATGGTGACAGGGGGGCACGACAGAGCCCCTCCTTTTGAGCTTCGCTGAATCCCAGCTAACAGTGGAAGGCGCAGCATGGAAACAAAAGAGCAGCAGCACGGGTCCTGGGGTGGAACTGGGTTAATTTTATTTGAGAACTGGGTTAATTTTATTTGATGGTAAAACTCCCCATCCCCAGCATCCCTGGACCCCAAACTGAGGGCAGACAATACCTTATAAATGGGGGGGCAGGTCTTGGGAGGATACAATCTTTAACTAATCAGGAGAACTAAGGGTGAAAAACAAGGTGGGGAATACAATGTATAAACCAATAAAGAATTTCAAGGGAGGAGAACACCTTCAGTGAACTAATGGGGTTTGGAAAAATACAAAACTGACAGGGAAGTTTCTAGGGGGAAAGCAGGTTTGGGGAGGGATTAACATTTAATAGAAGGAGTAAGGAAGGTTCTG